CAATTAAGAGCCATATGACAAAACACATCAACTATGCATTATAAAATCCATTAATGATACACGCCTATATACAAATTCATCAAATTAACATGCCATTCACATAATCTTCATCCATACACCATTTGATCATTATCAAAACATGAACAAATCAAGCACCATTCAATCTATGATATGGCCAAATGTGATACCAATTTGCATCAATCATGCATTCAATTCTCACATGATTTTTCAAGCAAAATTCATAAGAAAACACATATTAATCACCATTAAAACATGCCTCCTTCACATATTCAATTTATGCATGGAAGAAGCTTAAATACTAACCTTAGTCAACATGCAAACATTTGCATTCAAAATGCAGATTTTTACCATGTTAAATAATGGCCAAATATGTTCATAAATCCACCATCAAAATTGTATTCACAATACAATTCAAGCCAAATGCATTTATACTCCATTGTATCACATATAACACTCCAAACATGCATTCAAAATACATTATGCATCCAAATAATGTTTGGCCGAATTCTTCCCTTTTCAAAGTCATCAAACTTGCATCAAATGTGCTTATATTACACATGCATGTATCATATGAATGAGATATATTCATATTTAACAAAAATGCATCAAGATGCAATAAATCAAACATGCATGTTACATATGACTTCAAGAACAAGAAATTTTGTATTCTAAATATCAAAATTTCATAGAAGAATGTTAATAAGCATGAATATCACATATCCATCATCATTTGTATCCAAAATACACAATAACTTCAACATGCAGCTAAAGCAAAAACATATTCATGTCTAAACCAAGCCATTTTTCACCAAAAATGCTACATGCATGCATGAATTTAAACATGCTCTGATACCATTGCGGGATTCATGCATTTTGGACATGGAAATGGAGAGAAAATGATGATCAAGATGATGGACATAAGGTAGAAAACAAACAATTTAAAACATTAACTTATTAATGTAAGAAAAGGATAGAAAATTACCAACTCCTTTGCTATTAAATGCTTGATGTTGAAATTTGGAGTCTAGATTCTTCAAAAGAGAATGAAGAAACTCAAAAAGTAATCCACCCAAGTCAAAGATGAGAGAGCCGAGAGAGTGAGAGAGAAAATAAGAGAGTGATTTTGTTTTCAATTCTTTCAAATTGTATTAAAATGGTATAATACTTAATTTATATACCATGGGCACAAAGTGTAATTTTAAATTGTTTTGGGAAGGCATCAAACAATTTAAAATTAACTTGAGAATAAACATTTATGTCAAGTCCTTGGTTTTATGGTTAATTCATAATTAGACCAAATTTTAATTCCATTAAATATTCTAACCCTTTAGAATAAAACCAATGCACTTTTGCCCCCATCAGAAGTGGTCTAGCACCTCTCAAACCATCGAGGAATGGGCAACCTTAACCCATCATAAAAGAACATCTCATACATGTTCACCTAGCTTGGTACATCCTTGTTGACCCTCTCATAACTCTTGGGAATCTTGATCTTGACTAAGTTAGTAATGTGGTACGCCACCCTTATTTTCCACTCATTATCTCGTTTGAGGAAGGGAGGATAGTCTATTCGAAGTTGAACCCAACTAGGATGGTTAGGCGCTTGTTGATGTTTGACTCATCCAACCCCATTGTTTTCATAGCTTCCACGAATAGGATGTTGGTTGAGGAACCTCCATCCACGAATATTCTTTTGACAAGAATATTCACAATCTGTAGGGAGATGACAGGGGCATCATAGTGTGGGGCGGTCAAGGTGACTAGTTCATCATCTTCGAATTAGATGATTTGTTTGGTTGGTGTTTGTGAAGGTAAATGGAAAGAGCCAGCTTCAAGGTGATGGCTTGCTTAGGCATGTCGTTTGGCTAAGGAGTGGCTTACTCTACTCACTTTTGAGCCACCAGAGATAATGTTGCAAAACCCTTTTAGGGAGGGGGAGATGGTTATCTGCCTTTGCTTCTCTAGTTGATGGTGTTCTTGCCCTTGTGGCTACGACCTCTAAACGAAGAGCAAATGCAGTCGGCGACTTGGAGGCATCTTGGAGGTGTCTCTCTTGGTCTCAAGATTGAGCTTGGCTAGCCATTTCACTGTTGATCCCATCTTTTTCATGATTGCTACTATTTGGACTGGCTTTATGTTGAGTTTTTTTCTAGGACTGTGAATGGGGTAGAACTGGATGGTTGGTTTGTAGGTCGAGCCCGCTGGTGATCATACGATCTCCTATTGTTTCTATTGGAACCGCGTGGTGGGGGTGGGGGTGGGTGATGAGGTTCATCCTAGCAAGGTTCAGGGCATCTGAAACTCTGGCTTTAATGGTGGTCATCATAAGAGGTGTGTCTACTTCGGTTCATTTCATCCTCTTCCTATATGATTTGAGTGATGGCTCGGGCTAGAGCATCCTCCATGGTGTTACAATTGAGTTTGGTAACGTCCTTGTAGAGTTCTCTATCAGGAATGAGTCTTTTCCTAAAAGCGTCCACTTCTGTTTCAAGATTGCAAGATGGGATGAAGATTTTCTCCTTGTTGAACTGACTAACATACTCTCGGAGTGGCTATCTCCGATTCTAGTAGACCTTGTGTAGGTCAGTTGACAGCTTTTCAAGTTTCTTACTGGTGGTGAACTGTTCGATGAAAGTGTCAGTGAGCTAGACGAAGGAGCTTAAGGTGTTGTAGGGAATTTATTGTACCATTGGAGAGTCAGTCTTGATAGATTGGAATCGAAACTCTTACACATGTAGGCTTCTCTTAGGTTTTAAGGTATGGGGGCAACAAACATTTGTTGATTGTAGGAGGTAATGTGATCATTCGCGTCGGTTGTACCATCATAGGGTTTCATGTTTAGGGAGGTGAATTTCTGTGACATTTCGTCTAAGGCTATGCTATCCACTAAGGGTGAGTTGACATAACTATAAGGTAAGCTTTTCTTGGCTGGGGTTGGTACTCTAGGTATGCACCTTAGCATGGCTTCCATGTCAACTAGCTTCTTAGGCAATAGTTACTCAAAGGGCGATACGGTTGATAACATGTCCGCATTGATGGTGTGGTGGTGAATTTGTGGACTACTCGGCATGTTAGGATGAGCCGAGTCAAGAGGTGGGGCATGGAGGTTATGACCAACAAGGAGAGTTAATTGGGAGTTGGGGTTTCCACTCATCCCTTTTAGAGGAGTGGAGTCAAGCGTGACTATTCATGTGCTTCATCCAGCATAGATGGTAAGGGGGTAGTTTAGGGACCACTTGACCCATGAGGATGAGTGGTGCTTGGTGGGTGTAAAGGTTTCTACTCAACCCACGAGGATGAATCGAGCCAAGCTAAGCTTAGTGATAGGGTGTGTCACTCACATTCACATGGATGGGATGGCTGATGGTGGCGGATGTTTATAGTTGCTAGTTTGGGATTATTTGAGTGATTGGATCAAGGGTGAATGACGGGTCAATTGAGAGGGGTTGTGTTTGCGTGGTTGGGTCAAATGTGTTTATTGTGGTTGAAGCCGAGCCATCCATTAAGGATGACTGGAGTTAGAAATATTGAAGGTCTGAAGCCAAGGATCTAGGGTCTAGGGTCATTAGAGGTTGTATGGAGTTCACTAGGACACGAAAGCGGTTCTCTAGTACGTGGTTGAATAGGAAATCGAGAAAGTAAACTAAGTTATCTTTTCTCTTAGGGTTTTGTTCTTAACCTAGATGCTGGCGTTCTTAACTTCCAACACCGTGACCTTACCGAGTGTTGCTATATTAACGTAGTAAAAGCCTCGATCTTAGCCACGAGGTCTGATGAGGCATTGTCTATGGTTTCAACCATGACATGATTCTTTGTAAAGCAAATTGCTGAAGGAAGGTTGATTGTTAGAGGCCCCACGGTAGGCACCAAACTGTAGATGCTAAAAATCTAAGGCTGAGGAAAAGGACTGAACTTGTGAGGTTGAGGCCACTGATGATCTATTGAACCTGCACACACGAAGAAACAAGTGCGAAGCTTACATAAACACCTGTGTGGTGTCTACCATAGGCACTACTAAGGGGAGAAAGGGTTATAGAAGTCTGATCAGAGACTAGAGCTACGGTAAAGGTGTATGGTTCTTAAAAGCAAGAACTTTAGGAGCTAGTAAATGGTATATTATATTGAATATTGAATGACTAATGAGAGGCAAGGCCTCTAATTATATAATGGATATAGGATCTTTGAATCCTAGTAGGATTCTAAGTCCATAATAGTTAATTTCTAGTAAATGGGAAAGACTTGATTTCCATACCTTTGCAGAAGTGAGAGTCTTAATTCACATAAGATTCAAGATCTTAGGTGAATTAGGATAAAGATAGAATAGGAAGTAGATGTATTAGGGTTAGAGTAGGACTCTAGACCCTTAGCAGATATCATGGGCCAATGGACTTAGGCCTAAATGGGCTAATAATGAGGCCAAATCTGGATGACCCAATCTGGAGAGGTTGGGTTGGTGTCATGGCTTATGACATCGATCTTGGCATAAGCCCAACTGGAACTATGCCATGGCCTTGGGCCACGTAGTACATGTTTCCCAAGATGATTTTTGGCCCATGCAACTATATCTGATGATATCCACCCACTTATAGAGCTAAAGCATCATTAAGAGACAGAAAAAAAAATAGCATTGCGAGTTGCAACCCCATATGTAACTATCAAAGATCAATTTAGAAATTCATTTTGTCAAGCTCTATTATGAGCTTCAGTTTTCATAGAGCTGAAAAATTCTAAAACCTGTTTGATTGATCATTTCACTGCCTTTTGGCACAGTTTCAATAGTAAGCATGGTCAAATAACTTAAAAGCTCCAATATGAGACACAAGATAGTACAAATTAAGAACAACAGTAGTAGTAAATCAAAACAAAGTAGCACCACAAATCTTATATATCAGAACCCTTAGTTTCATACCCAACAACATTACAAGATGCAGAATGATAGACAAACATAAAGTATCATTTACTTTATCACAACATGAACCTATTATTGCTAGAGAAGCATTAATACGTTTAGGAGAGCTGTGACTTGTCCAAACTAACCGAACCATCCAGGTATGATAATGAGTAGGAGGATTTTCCATCTATCATAAAAACTGCCCCTTAAAAGTATTTTTGACAACAAAAACCTCTGCACAAAAGACACAAGTGTCTTTGATAAGGTATCCGTTTGATGGATTATGAAAGGTTTCCAGGTCCAAGAATCTGGAGAAGCCCCATTCTGTACTCATTGAATGGAAATGCCTTATTCTCCCATCTACATCAAAAGAAAAAGAAAAAGAAAATAAAATATATATACCAAAGAGCTAGAAAAGATAAATGTTGCTGAATTATATGTAGAGAAATAAGCTACCTTGAATTGTAACATACTTGTCCTGAAGCTGATCAAATACAAAAAAATTGAAAATCATGTTGATTTCCCACCCAATTTGGAAAGAACTCATTTTTGCCAATTCTAGATAAATAGATATATGACCTTCCCCTTTATTCTCCTTGTCTCCATTTGGATAGAGACACAATTTCCTATAATTGCAGATGAAATTCAAAATGTTAAAAAAGAGATCTAAATATTTATTCTTATCTATATACACTATATTGATATTATTCTTCTTGAATCTAATAATAAGTCCCCTGTTTGGCTTAATTTTTCAAAAAGTTATACACAATTAAACAAAGTAGATATTATTTGATTAAATAAAATACCATTTGAAGCCCCCAGCATCAAAATTGTTTGAGATGAACTTGTTTAAATTGGTAAGAGATGAGAAAGACTGAATTTTTAACAAGTAATGACTAGGCGGAGCATCCCTTAACACTGGAAGAGAACAGAATTGTTAGATAAGGAACACTGCATGGTTATCGTGATACAAATTAAATGAACTTATTAACTATTATACTTGAAAATAAAATGGATATATCATACCTCTTAAGACGGCTCCTTCTGTTGAGTTCTTAAACTCCATATATATATATATATATATATATATATTCCAATTGCAGAAAAAGATGATTAATAATTAATTGGATTTTGCCTCTTGTTTCTTCTTCCTAATTGGTATGACTAGCTTTTATAATATAATTATTGGATGTTTGATGCCTTACAAATTCAATCATCCAATATGAGAAAAAAGTATTTCTTGGTATTACATCCACAAAATTTTACTTCATTTACATATACCTCCCATTCTTTGTAACATTGAGTTCCTTTATTCTTTATTAAGTTTTATATTAATCACACATCAATTATTTTAATCTTTGAAGTCTTAATTTTAGGTCCGCTATAGGAAATTTAATAATGTCTACATATTGAGTATTGAGTATCGATTATGGTTTTGGATGATTGGATCATCATCCAGTGATTAGATAAAATTATTGTTCTAACCAATATAAATATAAAGAAATAATTGACAATAATGTAAAGGGTTTCAAATAGTCTTTAATCTAGAATAATAGTGTAGAATGTTTGTTTTGAAGACTTGATTTTCAATTTATTGATTTTCACTAAAGAGTTAATCTTTATATACGGAGAATACATCTACTGAATCTCCTAATTATTCAATTCAATTATACTGTATAGTGTTTGACAAAATTAGGAGAAGAGAGCAAAAGCATAGACTACTTTGAAATAAAAACCATATATTTGATAAATTAAAGCTAAGTTAATGACACTTGCATCATTGAAGCAGAAGTTACTTTGCTTGGTTTGATATTTAAAAGTCTCTTAATTCTGATGAAACATTTTGCAATAACATCTTTAACAGTCGATAATTGATATATGAAATATTGTTGCGTAGAAAGTAAAGAGAGTAAGAGTTACTAAGAGTTTACAGAGTAAATTTTGAATGACAGCTATATTACTTTAAACCCAGTTTTCTTTCCTCTATTTTTTATAATGCGTTGCAGTATATAAGGCCTTTCCCATTCAAATTAATATTTTTCATAAGGGTAAAGATTGTGTTTTAAATGCAGATATATATGGCCGCTTGTACTATGAAAATAAAACTACTACTATAATCGAAATTAATGCAGATATGCACAATCATTAAAGATTTGCTTTCCCTCCTTATTTTGCTTTCCCTCCTTATCTAAAATGAATAATATTTAATATATATTTTAATCAAAATAAAATAATATCATACAGACAAAGTTCTCTTATAAATATGTGAACATTTTACTCCACGCCTTGTTCCTTTCTCATTCTTGATGTATTTTACAAACCAAACGCTTAAAGATAGTGCCGAGTTTTGAGTAGATTTTGATATTTTAAAGCTTGTTTCTTTGAGTTTGTTAATATAAGCAAATGAAATTACTACCTGAGCCCATATGTAACTAGTAAAGATCAATTTAGAGATTCATTTTGTCAAGCTGTGTTACTAGCCTCAGTTTTCATAGAGCTGGAAAATTCTAAAATCTGTTTGATTGATCATTTCATTGACTTTTGGCATAGTTTTAACTGTAAGTATGGTCAAACAACTTAAAAGCTTCAATATGAGACACAAGATAGTACAAAATTAAGAACAACAGAACTAGTGAATAAAAACAAAGTAGCATCACAAATCTTATATATTAGTACCCTTAGTTTCATAACGAGCAATATTACAAGATGCAGAGTTATAGACAAACATTAAGTATCATTTATTTTTATCACAACCTGAACCTGAACCTATTATTGCTAGAGAAACATTAATACGCTTAGGAGAGCTATGACTTGTTCAAACTAACCGAACCAAGCAATTGAACTTCAGCTTCAATGATGCAACTGTCATCCACCAAATAACCCTGTTTCGGATCTTTCAATGTATCTAACAACATAAATTCTGAAAAACCCCAATTCTCGACTGTTGGACAAAACATATGGTCTTCAACTGAAATCAAGGAAGAAGCACAGGTTCATAAGATCAAATTTCATGAGAAAAATCTTCCATAAAAAAAAAGTAAAATAATTGACGGTTCCCATTGAACTAACCTTTTTTTTCAATGTGAGGTCCAGTCTTTTGATTTTTGACACGCAGAATGAAATTTACAAATAATTTAGCATTAAAAGACTGATCATACGATAAATAAATTGAAATATTTTTTCCGTTGCCCTCATTATGTCCATTAGGGAAGAGAACAACGTACCTACAAGACATTATCAGCGAGCTATAGGCAAATATATGCAAAGGGAAGTAAATATATTCAATCAACGCCAAATCATCAGGCATATACAAACCATTTGTATGGTCCGAGATTCAGAAATGCTTTTTTTATTAGCCAGCCGTAAAATTTTAACTACCCAGTATGATTGAGTAGTAGGTCTTCCATCTTTGATAAAACTCCCCCTAAAAGTATTTTGACAAACCTCTGAACCAAAGAACAAGTGTCTTTAATAGGTATCCGTTTGATGGATACGAAAGGTTTCCAGTCCAAGAATCTGGAGAAGCCCATCTTACTCATTGAAGGAAGCCTTATTCTCCCTCTACATCAGAAGAAAAAGAGAAAAAATATATAAATACCAAAGAGCTAGAAAAGATAAATGTTGCTGAATATATGTAGAAACAAGCTACCTTGAATTGTAACATCCTTGTCCTGAAGCTGATCAAATACAAAAAAATTGAAAATCACGTTGATTCCCACCCAATTGGAAGAACTCATTTCTGCCAATTCTAAGTAAAGATATATGACTTCCCTTTATTCTCCTTGTCCCATTTGGATAGAGACACAATTTCCTGTAATTGAATGAAATTCGAGATGTTAAAAAGGATTATAAATATTGTATCTTTCTATATACACTATTTGAATATTCTTGCTGAATCAAATAAAAGTCCCCTTTTGGCTTTTTCTTCAAAAAGTTATATACAATTAAACAAAGTGATATTATTTCATAAATAAAATACCATTGAAGCCCCCTGCTCAAAATTGTCCGAGATGAACTTGTTTAATTGTTAGGAGATGAGAAGACTGAACTTTTAACAAGTAATGACTAGGGGGGCGTTCCTTAACACTGGAAGAAGATACAGATTTGATAGATAAGGAACACTGCTGTTATCCTGGGAAAATAAAGGCTGACTGGGAAAGTCACGTGAAGGGTGACCTGCTCCGCGTCAGAGCAACACGCACAACGTCAGACCTGCCAAATGATATGGAGCTCACACGCGTCCTTTCCCTGCATAAATCGTGTGAAGTCAGCTTGGGAAGGGGAAATGGACGTAAAGCCGATTATATCCTGACAATCACACCAACCCATGGATTTAATGATGATACACGCTTCAGTTTGATATAAATGAAGAAGACCCCTTCATATAAGGGGATTCGGCCATTTTTACATTGAGAAACACTCTCTCTCTCCTGTAAACACAATTACTTTTTTCCAACTCTTCTGTAAGTCAGTCCGCTATTGCGACCTGACCCACACTAATATCAATACAAACCAGTGGACGTAGACTTGCTACTTAGCATCCGAACTACTTTAAAAACTCTCTTTGCATTTATTTCATTTTCTGAATTCATTATCACGTGTTGTTATTACCAATCACGGTTACGCACGTGACAATTCGTTGGTGCCAAAATCAAGCTCAATAGTTTGGCGCTAGAAGGAGGGCTGATTCAGTATCTACCCTTCATCAGGAGATCTTTGACCTACTGGTCTACAGCAACAAATGGCCTGCAATCGAGCCTACTCAGGTCAACCAGCTGCTGAAGGAGTCTCCCTAGCCCAGAGGGACACCCCTTCCAACGTACCTCCAATTTCGCAAAATGCGCTGCTGGAATATCCCCAGCTCTGCAACTGGACCCTGCCCAGAAGCTACCTGGGAGGTTCGACAATACTCTCCGACGGTCAACCAGAGGTTGGCAGTTTGCAAGGCATGTCATCTACGACAGCCGGAGCGTACAACGCCAAGACGCCTCAGGTCGCACAAAAGATCGACAAAGGGCGATATAGCCCGTGCCGCGATCACTGCACGTGTACGCAAGGGTAACAGTGGCAAAAAGGTAAGCCTACGGCTCCCACAGGGCCAGCGAATACAAAAGGCGCCCCGAGCAGGGTGTGCAAAGCTGAGACTCGTGAAAAAGTGATCCCAGCTGTCCCTGCCACATCGCAGGCAAACCCCAAAAATGTTGGGCGCGTGATTCCTATCACCCACCAACAGAGCGATCCCGATCGTTATAACGGTGGCCCCCCACACTGCTGGGCATTCGGACCATCGCGAGGTCGTGAAATGCCCCGCACAATCCATTGCCTTCACACGCCTCTAGTCAGTCGTGTCAAGTACGGCTGGACATACCAGTCGAGGCGAGGAGGAATCCACCTCCGGACTTTCCTGACACGCAACGAGAAGGCGGGCTCACCGGGTGAAAAAACTACCCCAATTGGCTCTGTTACCGCAAATCGAGGAGCTGCAGTGAGCTCTGGACAGGTTAAGAGTAGCAAATGAACAGGCGCAGGTCGCCTCTTCATCCCCTTTTTCTCCCGAAGTGCTAGCTGTTTCCACTTCCACCGGGGTTCAGAATACCAGATATGCGCCGTTTGAGGAAAACTATGATCCGCAGGAATCATTTATATAGTTCAACGACCGATGGAGCTCCACCAGGTTTCGAATCTGACCTGTGAAGACTCCACGAGACGGTATTCCCCACAGATTCTTTCAACCTGGCAGAAAAGTATCTCCGTAATAGAGAATTCATTGGCGGCACTCTGCCGTCGCGCTCACGCACTTCCAACAGTATGTCTGGTCAGGGAGATAACAGGCAAGCTGATCGCATAAGGGACATTGACGATCAGCGAAAAGGAAGAAACCCCACTGCGAGCAAAAAAAGTCCTATGATCCTGTTCCTCGTCGCGACCGCGATGGGATTCAATACACACGCTGAATGTGTCCATATCTGCAATCTCGATAAATCGAGAGCCCAGCCGCTCGTGAGCCCGAACCCATGAAAACTCCTGCTATGGGCCAGAAACAGCAAAAATACTGCCGTTACCATCGGGA